CCATTCATTGTTTAATAACATGTTATTTAGCCCCTCATGCTTTAAAATGTCTTTGCATATTTTTGTTGCAATTGATTTCTAGTTTCATGCCATTGTGATCTGAGAAGATGCTTGATATGATTTCAATCTTCATGAACTTGTAGAGATTTAGTTTGTGTCCTATCATGTGGTCTATCTTTGAGAATGTCCCATGTGCAATTGAGAAGAATGTGAATTCTGTAGTTTGGGGGTGTAATTCTCTGTAGATATCTATTAAATCCATTTGGTCTAGTGCTTCATTTAGAGTCTCTGTTTCCTTGCTAATTTTTTGTCTAGAGGATCTATCCAGTGATGTCACCGGGGCGTTGAAGTCCTCTGCTATAATTGTATTGCTGTCGATTTCTCCTTGAAGTCCTCCAGAAAATTTTTTTATTTTTTATTTTTTTATCCTCATCCGAGGACATTTTTCCATTTTTTGTTCAGGTAGAGTGGGAGGGAGAGAGGAACAGAGAGAGAGAGAGAAACATCGATGTGAAAGGAACACATCGAGTGGCTGCCACCCACACAACCGACCAGGGCCGGGGACAAACTGCAACCGAGGTACGCGCCCTTAGCGGGAACCGAACCCGGGTCTCTCAGGACCGCAGGCCGACGCTCTAACCGCTGAACCAAACCGGCCAGGGCCAGAAAATTTTTAAATATATTTTGGTGCTCCTATATTGGGTGCATATGTTTATCAAGGTTATATCTTCCTGTTGGACAGATCCTTTCAATATTATGTAGTGGCCTTCTTTGTCTCTAGTTATGGCCTTCATTTTGAAATCTATTTTATCAGATATGAGTATTGCTACCCCAGCCTTTTTTTCCTTTCTGTTTACTTGGAAGAATTTTTTCCATCCCTTCACTTTCAACCTATGTGAGTCTTTTGTTGTGAGGTGGGTCTCTTGTAAATAACATATAGATGAGTCATGCTTTCTTATCCAATCAACTACTCTGTGTCTTTTTATCAGAGCATTCAATCCATTCACATTTAAAGTGATTATTGATATGTACTTATTTATTACCATTTTTGTTTAGTTTGGTTATATTTTTCTTCCTATTTCTTCTTTTTTTTTTTTTTTTTTTTTTTTTAATCCTCACCCGAGGATATTTTTTCATTTTTTGTACAGATAGAGTGGGAGGGAGAGAGAGAGAGAAACATCGACGTGAAGGGACACATCGAGTGGCTGCCACCCGCACGACCAACCAGGGCCGGGGACAAACTGCAACCAAAGTACGTGCCCTTAGCGGGAACCGAACCCGGGTCTCTCCGGACCGCAGGCCGACGCTCTAACCGCTGAGCCAAACTGGCCAGGGCTATTTCTTCTACTAATTACAGCAGTCCTTTTAACATTTCTTGTAGTGCTGGTTTGGTACTAATGTATTCCCTTAGCCTTTTTTGTCTGGGAAGCTCTTTAATTGACCTTCTATTTTTAATGATAGCCTGGCTGGGTAGAGTAGTCTTGGATTCAGATCCTTGTTTTTCATGACCTTGATTACTTCATGCCATTCCCTTCTGGTCTGCATTGTTTCTGTTGAGAAGTCAGCTGAGAGCCTTATGGGGGTTCCTTTGTAGGTAACCTGTTGCTTATCTCTTGCTGCTTTTAGGATTATCTCTTTGTCTTTAATTTTTGCATTTTATTTTTATGTTTTTTATCCTCACCTGAGGACATTTTTTCCATTCTTTGTTCAGACAGAGTGGGAGGGAGGGAGGGAGAGAGGGAGGGGGGGAGAGAGAGAGAGAGAGAGAAACATCGATGTGAAAGGGACACATGAGTGCCTGCCACTTGCACGACCAACCAGGGTCAGGGACAAACTGCAACCGAGGTACATGCCCTTAGCGGGAACCAAACCTGGGTCTCTCTGGACCACAGGCTAACTCTCTAACCGCTGAGCCAAACAGGCCAGGGGAATTTTTGGCATTTTAATTACTATGTGTCTTGGTCTGGGCCTGTTTGGGTTTTTCTTACTTGGGGCTCTCTGTGCTTTTTGAGCTTAAATGAATTCTTCCTTCACCAAATTAGGGAAGTTTTCTGTCACTATTTCTTCAAATATATTCTCTAACCCTTGCTCATTTTCTTCGTCTCCGGGGACTCCTATGATGCGAATATTGTTATGTTTGCAGTTGTCCCACAGTTCTCTTAAGCTGTCTTCCTGTTTTTTTTGTTTTGTTTTGTTTTGTTTTTTTGTTTTTTTTTTTATCCTCACCCGAGGACATTTTTCCATTTTCTGTACAGATAGAGTGGGAGGGAGAGAGAGGAAGAGAGAGAGAGAGAGAAACATCGATGTGAAAGGGACACATCGAGTGGCTGCCACCCGCACGACCAACCAGGGCCGGGGACAAACTGCAACCGAGGTACATGCCCTTAGCGGGAACCGAACCCGGGTCTCTCCGGACCGCAGGCCAACGCTCTAACCGCTGAGCCAAACTGGCCAGGGCTGTCTTCCTGTTTTTTAATTGTTTTTTCCTTTTGGTCTTCTGATTGGTTGATTTTTTATACCGTCTTCTAATTCACTGATCCGTTCCTCAGCTTCCTCTACTCTGCTGTTTAGACCTTCCAATGTGTTCTTTATTTCTGATATGTCATTCTTCATTTCTTTTTGGTGGCTTTAAATTTCCAATTGGTTGATTATCAACATTTCTATGTCTTTACTCGTGGTGCTGATGTCCTTACTCATGCTGTTGTGCTTCCTCAAGATCATGGCTCTGAATTCTAGCTCTGTTAACGTGCTTAAATGCTCCGCATTTATCTCATCTTCGGTAGAGGTCTCTTGTTCTTTCATTTGGCTTTTGTTTTTTTTGTTTCACCATTTTGGCTATCACAGTGGGCTTTGGAGCCTGCCAAATTTTCCCTGTGGGTGTTGGTGTTCTGCTGTTTGTGGCTCCCTCTCCTGGGTTTGGATGAGCCAGGGAGGACCCACGTTAAACACCACTGTCAAGTCTTACTTTCCTGGTTAGAGTTGCTTGCCCAGGAATGGTTCAGTTATCCTCTAGCTTTTTGCCTGGAGGCTATCAGTAGGTTACTTGAAGAGCCTTGGGTTTTCAATTGAATGAAAAACTCCCTCAGGGGCTCTGTGTAAGGGGCTTGCCCGAGGGTGGGGCAGATGCTGGTTGTTAATTAGCCTCAATTTGCATTTCAATGGCCCACCTGGGTGGGGTTGAATCTCCGAGGGAGGGGCCGCCTCTCCCCAGGGCCCTGGGAATGAGTAAGATGGCCACCGTCCTGCATGGCTGCAGCTCAGCAAAAGCTCTGAGCGCCCTCCAAATCCCAAGTGTTCCCACACAGTTCCAGTCCAGTCCACCCTCCCTCTGCCAGAGCCCAAGATGAGTGGCTGTGGTTATTTTAGCGTCTGTCGTGGCTCTGGGCTGTGGAGCCGCTTGGCAGTTTAACTTGAGGGTGCTGCTCACAGCTAAGACCACTGCTGTCCGTGGGCTCCCAGCCCGCCTCTTGCGCCTCCGCAATCCTACCAGGATCGAATCTGTGTCCCTGGTTAAATGATCCTTGCAAGCTGCTTTTCTGTTGCTTTTTCCCAATGACTTGTCTTTATTTTAGTTGTAATTCCAGTTTACTCCTGGGAGACGGTCTGTGTAGTTTCCATTCACTCTGCTGTCATTTTGCAATTTCCTCCAATCATGTTTCTTATACAAAGCTCCATATCACATTATTATTGTTTTTATTATTTGGTGATGAAGGGGAGATCAGTAGGCCTGCTTCTGTATCATCAACCACTCAATCCAGGAACTGATAGCGTCCGAAATAAAAAGGACTGCACTTTCCCCCATGAGAGACATCCTTAAGCATTCTGATACTCTACTGCCATCTGAAGAGGTCAGTAAAATAGTTAGCAATCCATTGTAATGCCAAAGCTTCCAAACACAAACCACAGGATTTTTCTGCTAGTGGGAAACTATTTTAACACTGCTGGGTGTATATGTGACAGTCTCAATAACATAGAACACAGGTGACACTGATGGGGCATTGTTTACCACCACTACCACCACCTCACACGCAACATCAGTTCCCACTCAAAGCATGACCCAGGCTTAGCTGTGTGGACACTTGGATAGGTAGGGAACACGAGTAGTAGACTGGGCCATGTTTAGCCCATGAAAAGGCCACAAATGATACAATTCCACTTACTGAGCCTAGAAAAGTCAAGGCCAGAAAACAGTCAGTGGTTGCTGGAGCCAGGTAGGAGAGGGGACTGTAGATACTTTCTGGGGACAGCTCCAGGTTCCACTGTACTGGTGGGTTCATGCCTGTACACATTTGCCAAAACTCCTTAAGCTGTCCACTTGAAAGAGGTGCATTTTATTGCTTGTAAATTGAATCTCAAGAACTTTAACCCTCCACACAGGAGAGCAGAAAATGGCCTCCTCAGAGCACACAGCTCCTGCTAAAAGCTGCATGAGACCAGATTGTCCCGTGTCCTCCCACCTCACTGTCGCTAAGTAAGTGTCACTACCCCAGGCCTTCCTTGGCTCAGAAGGCTGGGCTCCCTCCCCACCAAGGCCATGGGCAGGAAATGGCTGAGATGACGTGGGCCCATTCCCTCTACAGCCAGGGCTACTCTGCTGTAATCTGAGAAATAACAGAGACTCCGAGCAGTATTGGGATGCTAGAAGCCAAAGACGACTTGGCAGCATCTCTTTAGAGTGCTACCATTAGACCAAGTGGAAAAGTAAGTTTCACACAAACATTTGCAGTGGTATGCAAAACACTAGTACTGTTTTAGGTTAAAAAATACAAGACCAAAGAACCCTATGTTGAGGAGGATTTGGGAGGTAAACACCAGGTTGGTGGGTGAAATCAGAGGTGGGCAGGTGACAGGGGTCAGCTGGTTATCTTGTGACTGAAGGTCAGTAAATTCTTTAATACAGGCAGGCAATGTCTCCACCTGTTTCCACAACCAAGTGCTGCTAACTCCTCCTCAAGTACTAAACAGATTATGCAGGGCTCTAGGCCAATCCTGGCACTCACCTTTGGGCTCTTGGATGAGACACAGCCTCTTGGGAGCTGGAATCATGCCAACCTTCAACGACTTGCTGCTGACCCTCTTCCGGGGAAAGCAGGTCTGTGATAGGGCAGGTGTGCCAGCTGGGCTGTCTTCAGCTGCCTCACTTGGAAGGCCATCAGCTGTGGGGCTGTCCTCGAAGACCTCGGACTTGGCAGCTGTTCCTGCAGCCCTGGAGGGCCCTCCAGGAGTGAGGGCCTCCTCATCCTCCTCCTCCTCAATCCCATCATCCTCCTCCTCCTCAGGCATCACCTGTAGGCTCTCCAGCTCAACCTGCTGGTGAGGAGGCTCATTTGAAAACTCTCCTTCCCCTTCCATGGGCTCTAGGGAGCTCTCAGTGGCATGGAGGTTCAGTGGAGGTGATGTAAAACAAATAGATGGGCATAGTTCAAATACCCTCTTTCGATAGAATTTAAAAGCCGAGCTATTTTGGTCATGTAGAAACCTGGAATAAAGATGATATACACTGGTTAACCAGACAATTCTCTGAACATTCTATTTTAAAAAACATTTTCTTTATTGATTTTAGAGAGGAAGGAAGAGGGAGAGATAGAAACATCAATGAGAGAGAACATTGATCGGCTGCCTCCTGCATGCCTCCAACTAGGGATCAGGCCCACAACCTGAGTATGTGACCTGACCAGGAATCAAACCGGCGACCTCTTGGTACCTAGGTTGACGCTCAACCACTGAGCCACAACAGCTGGGCTGAACATTCTTATTTGCTGAAACTGTTTGAATGGACCCAATGAAGCTGGGAGTGGGGCAAATTAGTGAATAACCTGACCTCTCACCACCATCTATGGCTTATAGTGCAGCTTTGGAATGAGACAGAAAGTTTGAAGAGCCAGAATGTGAGGCCTAACTGCTTTTTGGGAGAGGGAGATGGAGAAACAAGGTATGCTGGGATGACCAGGGAATGTGCTGGAATGAACTCTAACAGCCCAGAGATCCAATCTGGACTCAAGCATCCCTTTCCAGGGATGTCACTGGCCTCTGGACTTTTGAGGGCTCTCTGTGATTCTAGGGTCCATCTCACATTTCCAGATAAGATAGAGGAAGCATGTCACCCACAGAACCTCTTGCCTCACATTTGAAGATACAAAATACACTTGGACAGAAGTTCTTTTATAGGAAGACTCGACTTCATGAAGATGTCATTTCTACTTTGGTTAATGTATTAATGTTGAAAAGTATCTCAATAAAAGCATCATTTGTTTCTGGACCTGGACAAGATGATTCTAAAGTTCATACAGAAAAATAAATATGAAAAAACTGGGAGAACTCTGAACAAGCTCCACCAGATATTACAAGGTGTGTGATACCTAGTTAAAACAGGAGTAGTACTGGGATTAAGAAATACAAATTGGACACCCAGCTGGTGTGGCTTAGTGGATTGAGTGTAGTCCCATGGACTGAGAGGTCCTGGTTAGATTCTCGGTCAGGGCACATACCTGCGTTTCAGGCTTGATCCCCAGTAGGGGGTGTGCAGGACACAGCCGAATGATGTTTCTCTCTCACATTGATGTTTCTATCTCTCTCCCTTCCTCTCTCTCTAAAAAAAAAAAAACCAATAAAAACATGTAAAAAAAAAAAAAAGTACAGCCCTAGCCAGTTTGGCTCAATGCTTAGAGCTTCAGCCTGCAAACCAGAGAGTCCTGGGTTCAGTTCCCACTAAGGGCACGTACCTTGGTTGCAGTTTGTTCCTGGCCCCAGTTGCAGTCGTGTGGGTGGAAACCACTCGATGTGTCTCTCTCATGTTGATGTTTCTCTCTCTCTCTTGCCCCCTGTCTCCCTCTGCTCTATCTGAAAATAAATGCAAAAATGTACTTGGGTGAGGATAAAAAAAATAAGTACAAATTGGTTGCAAATTAGTCACAGGGATGTAAAGAATAAAGAATATCATCAGCCCTGGCCAGTTTGGCTCAGCGGTTAGAGCGTCAGCCTGTGGTCCAGAAGGACCCAGGTTCAGTTCCCGCTAAGGGCACATATCTCAGATGCAGTTTGTCCCTGGCCCTGGTTGGGTCATGCGAGAGGCAGCCACTCAATGTGTACCTTTCACATCGATGCTTCTCTCTCTCTCCCTCCCACTCTATCTGAACAAAAAATGGAAAAATGTCCTCGGGTGAGGATTAAAAAAATATATATATATATCTTCAATAACATTGTAATAAATGCCCTGGCCAGTTTTGCTCAGCAGTTAGAGCATTGGCCTGCAGTCCAGAGATACCTGGGTTCGGTTCCCGCTAAGGGCATGCACCTTGGTTGCAGTTTTTCCCTGGCCTGGTTGGGTTGTGCAGGTGGCAGCCACTCAATGTGTCTTTTTCACGTCGATGTTTCTCTCTCTCTCTCTCTCCCTCTCTCCCTCTATCTGAACAAAAAATGGAAAAATGTCCTCGGGTGAGGATAAAAAAAAAAAATTGTAATAACTATGTATGGTGCCAAGAGGATACCAGAATTATTGGGAGATTACTTCATAAATTATATAAATGTCTAACCACTGTGCTATACAGCTGAAACTAATAAAGTAATATTGAATGTCAACTGGAATTTTAAAAATAGCATGGTACTAGTCCATGAATAGATGGACAGACAGGCTAGAAGAAGAGCCAGAAACGCATCTGATGAAGGGGGCCTCTTAAACCAGTCTGAAAGAATCTTTTCAACAAATAGGGGACAACTAGACAGCTTTTAAGAAAAATATTTAAATGGGATCCATAATGCACCCCCTGCTTCCAAATAACTCCCCATACAGATCGGGGATCTAAATGTAAAAAAAACCACAACAAACTCTGGCCAGTTTGGCTCAGTGGTTAGAGTGTCGTCCCATGACCCATGGATCGAAGGGTCGCAAGTTCAGTTCCCAGTCAAGGGTTCGTACCTGGGTTGCATGTTCAATCCCCGGCCCTGGTCAGGGTCGTGCAGGAGGTAACCAATCTATGGGTTTCTCTCTGTCCTTCCCTTCTACTCTATCTAATGATCAAGGAAAAATATCCTTGGGTGAGGATTAACAAAAAAACAGCACAAAAACAAAAAAAGAAGGAAATATACACAACTATATCATAGATAAGAGCTCTTAAAAATCAAAGAAGCAGCCCTGGACGATTTGGCTCAGTGGTAGAGTATCAGCCCACAGACCAATGAGTCACAGGTTTGATTCTGGTCAAGGTGACGTACCTCGGTTGTGGTTCAGGAGGCAACCAATGTGTCCCTCTCATGTCGACATTTCTCTCTCTCTCTCTCTCCAGCCACCTCTGTCTAAAGATAAATAGAAAAACATCCTCAGGCCTGGCCAGTGTGGCTCAATGGTTGAGTGTCGACCCATGCACCAAGAGGTCGCCGGTTCGATTCCCGGTCAGGGCACGTGCCCAAGTTGTGGGCCTGATCCCCAGTGGGGGGGCATGCAGGAGGCAGCCAATTGATGTTCTCTCTCATTGATGTTTCTATCTCTTCCTTTCCTTTCCTCTCTAAAAATCAATAAAGAAAAAAAATTTTTTTTAAAGAAAAATATCCTCAGGTGAGGATTAAAAAAAAAAAATCAAGAAAGAAAGAGCCCAAAAATCCTAACAGAGGAAAGGGGAAACATTAAGGACTTCTACCCTCCAAAAGACATTGCTGGAATGAGAAGACAAGTTACAGACTGGGAGAATATGTCTGCAAATCACATTTCTGATAAAGGATTTGTATCAAAAATACACAATAAACTATCAAAATTCATTACTAAGTAAATAAACAAACCAATTTTTTAAAAAAGGGCCAAAGATCTAAAGAGACACTTCACTAAAGAAATATGAAAAGCAAGAAGCATACTAGAAGATGCTCAGTACCATCAGTCCTCAGAAATGAGAACCACAGTGGGATATCCCCTCCTCTTCCTGGGGTATCAAAAAAATGGACACAAGCAAGTGCTGGTGAGGACAGGGAGGAATAAGAACTCTCACCCAGGCTGTTAAAAAGGTAAAATGGCCCTGGCCGGTTTGGCTCAGCGATTGGAGCATCGGCCTGTGGTCCAGAGAGACCCGGGTTCGGTTCCCACTAAGGGCACGTACATCGGTTGCAGTTTGTCCCCGGCCCTGGTCGGTCGTGCGGGTGGCAGCCACTCGATGTGTCCCTTTCACATCGATGTTTCTCTCTCTCTCTCTCCCCCTCCCACTCTACCTAAACAAAAAATGGAAAAATGTCCTCGGGTGAGGATAAAAAAAAAAAAAAAAAAAAAGGTAAAATGATGGAGTCACTTGGAAAGGAAGTCTGGCAATTTTCTCAAAAGTTAAATGTGGACCCACCATGGGAGCCTGTCTTTCCCCTTCTTGGTATTTATCTGAAAAATAAAAGTATGTGTCCACGGAGGTCCTTATGTGAATGCTCACAACAGCTTTATCTGTAATAATCCCCAAATGAAAACACCTCAAATACTGACAACAGGTGGATGGTTGAGTAACATACAGTGGTCCCACTTTTCTTAGCTTACCTATTAAAATTTTTGCTTTACAACCATTTAAATTCTGTACTTGCTTTAAAGGTTAAATAAAAAATGCCCTAGCCAGGTGGCTCAGTTGGTTGGAGCATTGTCCTGTACACTAAACTGTTGCGGGTTTGATCCCTGGTCAGGATGTATACAGGAGGCAACCAATAGATGTCTCTCTCAATGTTTCTCTCTCTCTCTTAAAAAAAAAATCAATACAAGTATATCCTCAGGTGAGGATTAAAAAAATTAAAAAATCAAATAAAAAAGATAGGAAAAAAGGCCCTAAAACTGAGTGTCCACAGAAACAAGTGAACCTGAATGTATGTCAAATTGATGACACAGTCACACACACAAAACGAATCAACTCAAGCAACTATTGAGCACATCAGAGATAAAATTCTTTCAAGGAAAACAAAACACAAAGGCATCTTGGCCTTGCCCAGTGTAGTGAGTTTCAAACTATTCTATGAGCATTGGGCGACAGAACACATTATCCCACCTGATGTTGCTATAGGATCCAGGACTCTCACTGTGGGTAAGGAGGTGATAGCATGTTCTGAGGAACACTGCCCAAAAAGGCTGCTCAGCCCTGGCCAGTTTGGCTCAGCGGTTACAGTGCCTGCTTGTGAACCAAAGGGTTGCAGGTTCGATCATCAGCCTTGTTCAGGATTATGTGGGAGGCAACCAGTTGATGCTTCTCCCCCCCACCCCTTCCACTCTCTATCTAAAAGTCAATGAAAAAATATCCTTGGGTGAGGATTAACAACAACAAAAAAACCTCTGCACAGAGGGTGAGAAATAACCCCAAGCCCTGGCAGTACAAAGTGCCCAGGATGATGCAGAGTTTTCTTGCAAACTTTAGTTTTCATGGGAGGAAAAGGATGGATGAAACATTCTTAGCTTCCCTGTACTGAGTTATCCCCCTCACCTGGTCCTGCCAGGACAAGAACTCACATGCCACAGGCAGCCCCAATCTGAGGCCTGCAGGTGGCAGTTCTTGAGGTCACCAGGTTTGTAAAAGGCAGAAACAGGCAGAGCATTTGCAAAGCCATCAGTGCTCTAGGAGCTGGTCTGGGTCTCCCAAGAAGCAGAATGTACCCCCAGTGCAATACCCAGTCATGGTCCCAACAAGCTAGAAGAGCATGCTTGGTCACCACTGGGTCCAAGAAATGCACTAGAGCCCTGGTCGGTTTTGCTCAGCGGTTAGGATGTTGGCCCATAGACCAAAGTCATGTGTTCGATTTCCAGACAAGGACATGTACCTCAGTTGCGGGTTTGATCCCCGGCCCCTGTCAGGGTCATGTGGGAGGCAACCAATAGATGTGTCTCTCTCACAATAATCCCTCTCTTTCTCCCACTCTATCTAAAAAAAAATCAATAGAAAAATATCCTCAGGTGAAGAAAAAAAAAATTAGAAATGCACTAGAAAATGTGAAGTTTTTAACTGCATTAAAAAAAAAAAATCCTCGCCCTGGCCGGTTTGGTTCAGCAGTTAGAGCGTCGGCCTGCGGTCCTGAGAGACCCGGGTTCGGTTCCCGCTAAGGGCACGTACTTCGGTTGCAGTTTGTCCCCGGCCCTGGTTGGTCGTGCGGGTGGCAGCCACTCGATGTGTCCCTTCATGTCGATGTTTCTCTCTCTCCCTTCCTCTCTCTCCCTCACCTTCTATCTGTACAAAAAATGGAAAAATATCCTCTGGTGAGGATAATAAAAAAAAAAAAAAAAAAAAAAAAAAAAAATCCTCGCCCTGGCCGGTTTGGTTCAGCAGTTAGAGCGTCGGCCTGCGGTCCTGAGAGACCCGGGTTCGGTTCCCGCTAAGGGCACGTACTTCGGTTGCAGTTTGTCCCTGGCCCTGGTCGGTTGTGCGGGTGGCAACCACTCGATGTGTTCCTTTCACATCGATGTTTCTCTCTCTCTCTCTCTGTTCCTCTCTCTCCCCCCCACTCTACCTGAAAAAAAAAAAAAAAAATCCTCACCTAAGAATATTTTTCCATTTATCTTCAGAAAGAGTAGGAGGGGGGAGGGAGATAAACATCAATGTGAGATACATTGATTGGTTGCCTCCTGAATGACCCGGAACAGGTCCAGGGACCAAACCACAACTGAGGTACATGCCCTTGACCAAAATCGAACCTGTAACTCTTTGGTCCGAGGGCTGATACTCTAACTGCTGAGCTAAACCAGCCAAGGCTTAACTGCATTCTTTAGTAGACTAAGGCACAACTCTGCAGCATGTTGGGAGCAGGCAACAGTCAGAAGCCCCAGTAGATTGTAGGATACAATGTATACAGCAAGCAAATCCACCTGCTCCCCACACATTCCCCTCCAGCTCTGAAGGGAGCCCAAAAGGGTTGTGGCTTAGTAATGGGAACTTTGAAGAACATGCATCCCACAAGCAGAACTATTTCCTGACTATGTGGTGATGAGTCTGAGGAACGGGGAGGGTAATGGTTCTCCTCCCAGCCCAAGGGTGCCAGGCTGTCACTGCATAGAAGTGCTTGTTGCCCACACTTAGACCAGGGACCACCATCACTCCAAGAGCAGCCCTCATCAGCCCAGAGCAGCCAGTGTAAACAGGAGGCAGTGCCCCCCTCTTCCTCAGGCTCTTGGGTGAAGATGTACCCTCCCTCATTCCATTGTTCTGTCTCTGCTCAGGTCCTGGGGACACCGTCCCTCTGCCCAGGGAGCTATCTCCCCTCCCGTGGAAAACTCCTACTTGGCCTTCGAATCCAGCTTAAATGTCTCTCTGGGGAGCTTTTCACCATCCGCTCATTATCTCAGAACAGGCACTCTTCTCTCCCAGTCATGAGTTCAGCAGAAGTGAAGTGATAACTTATCCCGCTGGGTTCGATACCTGGGGCAGGAATGCATCTGTCAGGCCACCCTTCGGGCTCCCAGGACACTTGTGGGGTGAACACACTCAAACCAGAAGGGCGAGATGGGTACGTACCACAGGTCAGGGTTGTCGGTGCTGTTTTCTATGCTGAATTGTTCGATCTCTGGTCCCACCTGAGCAACAAACTTGGCCAGTTTCTCTGCAGTCTCCATGGTCTTCATGTCAACTACAAACAAAACAAAGCAACTGTCACATGTATGAGCTGACATTTTCCTTGAGGACATCATGGGGCTGTGGAGACTGATTACAAAGATGGTCCCTCATATCCCTTCCTGCATATTTGCCTTTTGCCATATCCAGCAGAAATGGACTCTCCTCTCCCTGAACTGAGACTGGCCCTAAGACTCCTGCTAGCCAACAGATGTGGCAGGAGTGCCCAGCCTAGGGATTAGAGGCCTCGAGCACCTCCACTGCTTCTTCTGAAGGCCTGACACCAACCTCAGGAGAACCAGCCCTGGCTGACTAGCGAGGGTGGTGGTGGTAGGGTGGTGGGTGGTGTGTGTGTGTGTGTGTGTGTGAGACAGGCACATGGCCTAGTCAGCCATATCACTGCAACCAACCTCAGACAACCAGTCACTGCCTACAAACACATGTGCAGGCCCAGTCAGGCTTAGCTCCTGTGTGAAGCCACAGTTTGGAGCTGCTCATTCTGTAGCAGCAGTAGGGTAGACTTCCCTCTCTACGTTCCCACCTACTACTGAGTGGGAAGCACTGGTCAGGGGGCAGACCCTTTGCAGAAGCAGCAAGTAATGGCTAGGAGACAAAAAAGAAGCTAAGTTGGTAACTTTAGAAGAAACTGAAGGTCAGCTAACCCTGAGGAGGGAACACAGAGACCTGGGAAGAGGCAGAACGAGAACAGGGCAGCCCTATGGAAGGTAAAGGGGCAAGAATGAAGAGAAACGGATCAAGGAACTCAAAGCCCCAGGCACAGGCACACAACATGACCTGGTGGTCAGCGGTAGTACCTTACAGGGAGGTGGTCACTGGGCAGCACCCTGGGTTAGCACCACTCTCAGGACAGGAAGAAGAGTGCAACAGAACTCTAGGGCTGCCCCCTTGAGGAAGCAAGAGGAGAGAAAGCACCATCTTATGTACCCATCTTCACCAGGTCCCTGCTGCTACTGCTCACTGTCCAGACCACCGAGGCCACCACACCTCTGCAGAGATCCCTACAGACTGGATAGTCAGGGCTGGGGCCCAGAGGAGGAAGACAGGAGTGAACACCCACCGTCAACAGACAAGCAGGGAGAGGAGCTCTGAGGGGCTTCAGATATGTCCATTCCTGCTGGCTTGGGGGATGGGCCCGCAGCTTCTGAGCTGAGGTCCAGAGGAGAGCGCCTGGTTGGGTCTGGTGGGCAGTCCTTGGCAGCATCATTTCCATCTGGCTGGGGTGGCTTTCCCTGCAAGGAGCCTGGAGCTTGCTGGGTGTGGTGTTTCAGCCTGGTGCCCGAGGAGAGGAGGGTCTGGGTCCCGGTGGTTGCTCTCCTCACCTTCCAACCCTGGAGCCCTTGAGCTCGGAGCAGCCCCCGCCGCTGCCCTGGAAGAAGCCTCTTCTTGAGGCTGTGGACCGCCCGGGCATAAAGCATGGCCCGGACTGCACACTCTGCAGCCATTGGCTTCTGACCCACTCCTGGTGAGGTCTGGCTTATCCGCTGTGCTTCTGCCAGCTTCAGCTTGTAATATTTATATTCCAGACTACTGTCATCAGACAAAAACCTATATAACAAAACAGGTACAGAGAGACATTGCTAAAACATCAGCGTGACCAAATCACTGCTGCAACTACACTTCTGCAAATCCTTTCTACACAATGGCTTCTCTACTGTCCGAGGTTCCACTTGGCTCCACCAAGGAGCTTGGTCAGGTCACCCTTTTTGCCCAGAGTACTGCAGGGCAACCAGGAGCTTTGAGCACTGGTGGAATCCTCCATTTGTCATTAGCAGCCATGAAGGACCTCACAGATCCTGGAGGCTTAACTACACAAACCAGTTACCCTGGAGCCATGGAAGCTACCAGTACACAACAGGCATTACTCCTGGACTCCATTTTCAGAAGGTGACACCCTTCAAATGGTGGGCGCTCAATGACCTTTCAACTATATCACTTACTTTAATAAGCAAGTACTACATTTATGATGAAAACTTTAATTTCAAAAAGTTCTATGCACGTGAAGAGGCAAAAAGGTAAAAGGAATACAGTTTAACAAATAGTAGCAATAAATCACAAACAACTGCATTGACATATCCCTCATCTTACACACATTCTCTGTATGCACATCTCAGCTTATCCTTAAACCAGCACAGCAGGGACGCAAACTTCTAAGACTAGACAAAAGAGGGTCACAGGACAGGTCTGCAGCAGGGCTGGTGCTTGAACCCAGGTGAACCCTGATTCACTCTCATGCTCTTCCCACTGGTCAAAACCACTGCTCAAAATAAATACCTCACCCTCTGCTCTAGACACCATCAGAGCAACATCAATGTTGCTATGTGCTCTATGGGAGGGATTCAGAGGGCTGTTATTTAAAGACCTACCAGTAAGCAGGGTCCTCCTTGAGAAGAGCTCTCTCTTTAGGAGACAAGCTGCCTCCAACGACACGTGTGACTAGCTGATCGATGGTGTCCACCACCTTGTGACCTGCTCGCTGGGGGACGGCTGGAACACACAAAAGGGCTTTTCTGAAAAACAATGAACCACATGGTGCCTGGAAAGACCAGGACAGGGTCAGGGGCTTAGGATGGAACCTATGCAGGCACAAGCAACTGAAATCCTTATTCATGAGAGACCAGCATTGGAAAGAGGAGAGTATTATTCTAGAAACCAGTATATAAAATATCCTCCCAAAAGCTCCAACAGTATAACCACCAGGACAGAAACAGTCACAGGCTTACAATGACAGTACAGAGTAATGTATGTGTTCTACAGAAGGAAATGGTATGCAGCACTCCATACCACTTCTCGTGTATTGCTTAACTTGAATGTTCACAATATTAAGGGAAAAATATAGTTATAAAATGTATATAGATATAAAATATGTAAAACATTTATCTAGGTTGTGATTCCCAATAGGAAGGAGGGGAAAAAAAAGATGGAAACAGAAAAAAAATGAAGAAAATACACCAAAGTTAACAGATATTATCTATAGGTGGTAGACATATCAAGATTTCATGTTCTTTGTGCTTTATCTACAAAATATAAATATACATGTGTTCTGTAATCAGAAAACATACATATTTAAATTTACAAAGAAAAATTTCACAATGAAAAAAGTTAAGGTTGCTCGGCCAGTGTTGCTCAATGGTTGAGCATTGACCCATGCACCAAGAGGTTGCCGATTCGATTCCTGGTCAGGGCACATACCCAGGTTGTGGGCCCGATCCCCAGTGGGGAGTATACAGGAGACGGCCAATTAATGTTCTTTCTCATCAATGTTTCTCTCTCTCTCTCCCATCCTCTCTCTGTGAAAAGAAATAAAGAAAAAAAAAGTTAAGGTCCTAAGGTAGGTGTGTTCACAGAAATATTTGCTGAATGTATGAAAACATTTTTTTAAAGTGTGAATTTCCAGGCTGGCCGGTTTGGCTCAGCGGTTAGAGTCGGCCCCTTGGACTGAAGAGCCTGGGGTTCGATTCCTGGTCAAGGGCACAGAACCTGGGTTGCAGGTTTGATCCCTGGCCTCAGTTGGGGTCGTGTAGCAGGCAACCAATCGCTGTGTCTCTCTTTTTTTATTTACTATTTTTTCTTTATTTTTTTTTTTTAGAGAGAGGACTGGAGAGGGAAAGAGATAGAAACATCAATGAGAGAGAACATCGACTGGCTGCCTCCTGCATGCTGCCAACTGGCGATCGGGCCCACAACCTGGGCATGTACCCTGGTCAGGAATGGAGCCAGCGACCTCTTGGTGCATGGGTCGATGCTCAACCACTGAGTCATACCAGCTGGGCTGATGTGTCTCTCTTACATCAATGTTTCTCTCTCTCCCTCCCTTCCTCCCTCCCTCCCACTCTATCTAAAAATCAATGGAAAAATATTCTTGGGTGAGGATTAAAAATAAAAAAATCTCCTTCAATATGGCTGTAATTTACAATGCCACCAGCAACAAAGAACATCTGTGCCCTCAAATAATAAGATTGTATAGCTTTCTGATATTTGCTAGTTTTAATAGCACAGATGATCTATTTGTTCACTCATTCAATAAAAACGACCCCTGAACTGGAAGGTTTCCCAGTTTGTTCTGTGGAGTAATTGGGATGTCCTGTTCTTGCCTATGTTTGAGTTGTAGCTTTGAGTTTATTTTAAACATCAATGGAACTTCTATATAGGATAGAGTCAATCTTTCAATTGTCATGTTTTTGCAAGCATTTCCCTTTTGAAATTGTTTTCCTTTCTGTTACTGGCTCTCATTTTACAGAACTGCTAATTTTACAGAGAAATAATAGATCTAAAATCAGCAGCTTTCAGAAACAAATATAATTTGTGGGTTACTCACTACAACCATCTCTAGAGAAGATGAGCACAGCAAGGGCCAGAAAGTGGGTCCCAACAATTCTTCTCCTGAGACTATATCCTTTTAAAGGAGAATTTTAAAATAAAAATAAAAGTAATAATCAACAAATTCAACCAAAGATGTCATCCTAGCATTTCTAATATATGGTAATGAAAACAGTGGTGGGACAGCGGTGATGCCGTCCACCTGCTGTCCACATAGCTGAGGCTTACAGATGCCAATCACAAGGGAACCTAGCTCAGCTCAGCCTCAGAAGCCTATAGCAAAAGGCAGCATGAGTCCAACATCAAGGGAATGGTGAGATAATTTGTTAGGTCATATCATGATGCAGTGAGTGCTGTAAAAACACAGGAAGGGATTTTGTGGGGTGTGCAGAGGAAGGGGCCCACTTTGGTCCTATTTGCTTCTGGAAGGCTCCCTCTCTGGGAATAGGTGCAGCCCCCACCTGTGGTGGGACCTACCAATGCTATGGCATTTGGGGCTCTACAAGGGTGTAGAGGAGTGAAGAGATTCAGGAGCAAATGAGACTTCACCACTGGGTTGTGGCAATAGAAGCAGAAAACCATGTCAGGAGGACTCATGGACTATGTACATGAGTCCTGGGAGGTTTGGGCTGAGAGCAGTCATCCTGGGAGCGAAGGAAGAGGAACAAAGAACACCAAACAGCCAGTCATGTCTATTACCTCCTTATTGGCCCCCTCCCCTGTAAATTGACTGTTAACTGTAGGTTACCAAGTGTACCTATCTGTCAACCTTTAGCCAGTCTAGAAGTGTAGGGTACCTCCGTCACCCGAATCGACCTGGTTAGTCCCTGTTCATCCCTTGATACAGCTCAAATACGGCCTTCCCAACTCCCCAGGCTAGGCTGGGACCTCTCCTACACAACCCCTTAATCCCAGCACAGGAAGCACTGTTTCTGGTGATTTATTTCCCTCAAGAGCTTGAGGCCTCCTCAGAAACAATGCCCAGCATTTATTTTTCCTTCTAGGAATACCTGAGGGGAGGAGCCCTGTTAGAACAAGGTTTCTTAACCTTGGCTGCAGGATGGTATACACCTCTAGAATACAAAGGCAAAATTGTGAAAAATATATGTGTATTTTTCATGGCAAGGGCTGTGGCTTTTCACCAGATTCCCAAAAGGGTATCTAAGGACTTCTGTGGTAAACTGAAGATTTCTCATACGTACTTATGGAATAAATGGCAGACAGACTTGTATACTGGCCAATGCAAGTTTTCTGCTAAAATTCTGATTTATTTTCAGTTGGCTAAAGAACTCCTTATAAAAATCTCAAAAAGCCCAGCTAGTGTGGCTCAGTAGATTGAGTATCGTCCCATTGACTGAGAGGCCCTGGTTTCACTCTCAGGGCACATGCCTGGGTTCAGGGTTTGATCCCCAGTGGGGGGGATGCAGGAGGCAGCCGATCGATGTTTCTCTCTCACATTGATGTTTCTCTCTCCCTTCTTCTCTAAAAAAATCAATAAAAACATTTTAAAAAATCTCAGAGAGACTGAGAGATATTACCAAACAAACAAAAACCATGAAAAAGAAACAAATCACAAAAAATAGAAACTTTTGCTGCTTTCCTTACCATCAGTTAGACCACTGAGAGCCTTGGCCTGAATTTCAAGTTTGGCGGGAGGAACCGTTTTCTCATCTTGAGTTGGCTCAGGTTCAGCTTTCTTAACCTGGAGTGGACACCCACTGCTGACCAGCCAGGCCTTCAGGTGATCTATGTACTCTCTCCCAAACAGAGTGGAATCCTCAAAATTTGGAAATGCAGCAGGAGAGGGAGCTATATCTTGGAGGCCGACAGCTTCTAAAATTTTCTCTTGCCGGAAAGAGGAGGCCAAGGAGAATGTCTGTCCCAAAAGGGCCAAAGACTTCCGGCAGAGAGAATTGGTGGTCTCCAGGGCAACAGCCAAGTCCAGGGGGTTACTAAGGGTCTTCATTTTGACACTCAGCTCGTAGGCATTGCAGGCCATGAGCAGGGGTGTGACACTCTTTAGAAGTCGGTCTTGAAGCCTCATTATGTACTTGTCAAAGGGCTTTATGATTTCAAAAAAGCAATTTTTGGTCTTCACAGCACCTTTGTCTAAAAGCATGTTTAAAAATTCGTTATCAACTCTGGGTGTTTTCAAAGCAGAGTGCTTTAAAAATTTGATAGTAAAAAAGCAAAAATCTCTGTGCTCTGGTTTTAAGGAGCATTTAAATGAGGCAAGCATTTTAGCACAGGTTTCAGTTTCAAGTTCAAAGAGAGTCTGGAAAAGCTGGGAAAATTTAACATCATCTTTTATGGTGTGGAACCCTGCCCATTTGATTATTTCTATCCCAAATCTTGAAAAAACATCAGATTTATCCATGAGGTCAAAACTCATCTTTCTTCTTGGGAGACGAATGTCCTTCAGGTTGAGCCCCAGAGGGATCTTCTGAGGGGGGAATTGGATATCTTCCATCCCTGGGTTTGTACCTAGGGTCACATCAGAACTTGGGGTGGTTTTCTGGATTTGGTTAGTGACCTGAGTTTTGGGAGTACTACGATTTATAGTAGGTACTTTTTTTGTGCTCACACTTCTCAGCGTGACAAGTTTCCCAACACTCCCTTTAGGTGTGAGCAGGCCTTGAGACTCCCCCTTTCCTAGGAGGACACCCTCCTGATCAACGATGTTTAGACCTCGACCTCTGCCCTGGACTTGGCCACTGCCCCTCAGCACAGAGTCTGCCTCCCCTGGACGGTCCACGTTGTAATCCCGACTCTCTTTCTCCAAACACTCTTTCTCCATCAGCCTGGAGGACCCAAAGTCTCCCAGTAGTGCAGAAGGACCAAAATTATACTCCTGTGACCAAGTCGATTCTTGAGAAACTGGGTGGCCAAAGTCTTGTTCCCAAGAGCCACGGAGTGTAAATTTCCAGTCTGGAGAACGAAAATGTCCCAATTTCCGGTGGCCAAAGACCTGTTCTCGGGAATCAGCATGGGAAAATTCCAGATCCCGGCCACATTCTTTGCGAAAGTAGTTGTCTTCGTTTACAGAAGGGTTGCTTGATCTGAAGGAAGGCCCTGGAAACACATCACCTCTCCCAGCATCTCGAGAGTGAGCTATAGATCCGCTCAGAGTGTATCTGCCTTCACTGTGAATGTCATCATACATATCTGCTCTGACTCTTGGCAATGTCCTTATAAGATCTGAAATAAACAATCCAAAAGGAAACACAAAGGTACTTTAGACCAGAGGGTACAAATGGACAGTCCACAGACTACTAGTCAGCATGAGTACTTTATCTGCCTGAGTGCATTAAAAAAATTCCTATTTAGTCCAGCCAGTGTGGCTCAGTGGTTGAGCGTCAACCCACGCACCAAGAGATCGCCGGTTCAATTCCCAGTCAGGACACACGCCCTGCTTATGGGCCCGATCCCCAGTGGGGGGCATGCAGGAGGCGGCCAACTGATGTTCTCTCTCATTGATGTTTCTATCTCTCTCTCCCTCTCACTTCGTTTCTCTCTAAAATCAATTTAAAAAGGGAAGAAAATAATAAATAAAAAATTTTTAAATTCCTATTTATGCCCTGGCCAGTTTGGCTCAGCAGTTAGAGTGTCAGCCCGTGGACCAAAGAGTCGTGGGTTTGATTCCGGCCAAGGGCACGTACCTCGGTTGCGGTTTGTCCCTGGCCCTGGTGAGGGTTGTCCAGGAGGCAACCAGTTGATGTGTCCCTCTCACGTCGATTTTCTTTCCCCCTCCCTCCCTCCCACTCTATCTGGAGATCAATAGAAAAAAAAAATTCCTATTTGTTGCCAACATTGAAAATGTGTGTGGTTGCCCTGACCAGTGTGACTTGGTTGGGCATTGTTTCCTGCACCAAGAGGTTGCTGGTTCAATTCCCGGTCAGAGCACATGCCCAGGTTGCAGGCTTGATCCTCAGTGCGGGGCATGCAGGAGGCAGCCAATCAATGTTTCTCTCACATCGATGTATCTCTCTCCCTCTCCTTTTCTCTTTCTAAAAAGTCAATTAAAAATATTTAAAAAATAAAATAAAATGTGTGTGGTTTCCCTTAAACACCTAGATTTACTACTTTTTATAAAAAAGGGCTTGTATCTGCCCTGACAATAATGTACCAAGGCTGGGAAGCAGTGCCCCTTACTCACACAGATCTGCCCTAGCTCAGCAGGCATCTGGTTTACAAAGCCCTCTTTTAGACTCAGGGAAGGGTGTCTGGTTCTCAAATAACCTGGATTTCTTTACTGTGACTGGAACATTTGTGTATTTCTACCTCTATCACAAAGTACACAGGTTTTCTAGAGATTGCCCACTCTCCTTGCCTTCTAGTAGGAACTCTCAGCCCACAGTTCCACTGGGGCAGGAACCACATACATCACTATACCCACCACAGCCAACAATCTGACCCAAAGTTGGTTGATACACAACTCTGGAAAGGTCCACTGGGCCAACCAATCCTCTGAAAAAAAAAGACTGAAGGAGATAAGAGAGGAAGCAGCAGCTAAACAAGCCATCAAAAGAGGCCACAGTGGGAAATAAATACGTGTGCTTTTGTCCTCCTCTGTGTAGAAATTAGGAAAATAGGAACCTATATTTGCATTTGCTTATTTGTGTACAAAGAAACTCTGTAAGAAGGTAGGAACAGAAGCAAACGATGAGCCTCAGGGAGGCTTTGCACTGAGAGCCTTTCTAACTTTTAAATCAGAATCTATTACCTAGTGAAAAAGCCAAATGGAAAGAAAAGGGAGAGAGAGATGCTTTGAGGTTGTAATGGGGCAAGGCCATAGGAAGCCAAATCTTTATATAAATCCAAGTTTTTCTGCTCAACAGTACTTACTGGGAACCTACTGTGTTTGGGCACTGCTCTAGGCACTGAAGTTACAGCAGGGAAAGGAGACAGCAAAGTCCCTGCCCTCTTGGAATTGTCATTTGAGGAAGCCAACAATAAATAAAAGTACATCAGGTGTAAGGAAGTGCAAATAAAAAATATTAAGCAGCCCTAGCTGGTTTGGCACAGTGGTTAGAGTGTGGTCCAGACAGACCTGGGTTCGGTTCCTGTTAGGGGTGCGTATCTCAGTTGCAGTGACCTGGCCCTGGTTGGTCGTGTGTGTGGCAGCCACTCGATGTGTCCCTTTCACATCGATGTTTCTCTCTCTCTCTGTCTTCCTCTCTCTCCCTCCCACTCTATCTGAACAAAAAATGAAAAAATGTCCTCAGGTGAGGAGATATATATATATATATAAATAATATATATATATATATATATCAATATATCAAGCAGGTGGGAACTTCAGAGGGAAAGCCATTTTTAGACAGGCTGGTCAAGGAGGGCAGCTCTGACAATAATATACAGGGGAGGCCTGGTGTGGGAAGTCACATTGCAGTTATGGGGGAGCCTTCTAGGCAGAAGTTGTAGGGACAAACTTCTGATGTGTGACTAGCAGGGAATGAATGTGCCAGAGGGAACGAAGGACAAAGTGGTAAGAAGGCAGCTCCTAAACTCTGTTGCATATTGGAGTACCTTGGGTGCCCCCAGGCATCCTGATCTTATTAATTAGCATGGGGTGTAACCTGGGCATCAGGCTTTTCAAAAGGTCCCCAAATGCAAACAACAAGTGTTGGCGAGGGTGTGGAGAAAACGGGACTCTAATACACTGCTGGTGGGAATGCAGACTGGTGCAGCCACTATGGAAAACAATATGGTGTTACCTCAAAAAATTAAAAATTGAACTTCCATTTGACCCAGTGATTCCGCTTCTAGGAATATACCCTAAGAAGCCTGAAACACCAATCAGGAAGAATATATGTACCCCCATGTTCATAGCAGCACTATTTACAATAGCTAAGATCTGGAAACAGCCCAAGTGTCCATCAGTAGACGAATGGATAAAAAAGCAGTGGTACATACACACAATGGAGTACTATGCAGCTGTTAAGAAAGAAAGATCTTTTATCCTTTGAGATGACATGGAGGGACCTGGAAAATATTATCCCAAGTGAAATAAGCCAAGCAGAAAAAGACAAATACCACATGATCTCACTTATTTGTGGAATATAATGAACATAACAGTCTGAGGAATACGGTAGACCCAGAAACATGGAAGTAGGGCACAGACTGACATCCCTCAGAAGAGGGGGTGGGGGGGTGGGAAGAGATAAACCACAGAACTTATATGCATGTATGCATGACCAATGGACATGGACAACAAAGCCGGGAATGGGGAGTGGGTGCCAATGGGGTAAAAAAGGAGAAACATCTCTAACAATAAATAAATAAATAAATAAATAAAATCAATAAAGAAAAATAAAACAAAAATTAATGGACAAAATATCCTTGGGTGAGGATTAACAAAAAATAAATAAAAAGTAAAAGACTCCAGAAAAAAAAAAATAAATAAAAATAAATAAAAGGTCCCCAGATGATTATAACATGCAGCAAATTTAGGGAGATGTGGATTGAAGGAAGGTACAAGATAAAGTCAGGCCTTCAAAGGGATGCTGGGATATTGTGAGTAAGATGGAAAGCCAGAGATGGGATCAGAGCAGAGGGATGATCTCACTGGCTACTGTGAAGGCAATAGGCCAAAAGGGACAAAAATGAATGTGGATGTTCCAGTTAAGAGTCCACTGGGATAATCTAAGTATTGATGGCTACTAATGGTGTGGTGAGGTAAGTAGCATTAGAGATAGAGTGGTGGCTAGTTTCTGCACAACAGAATTTTCTGGAGCCTTTTAAACCAAGGCATTGTAAAAGTGCAGAATAGAACAGAGATACAGAGAAAGTCCAACCAATGAACCCTGCAGCTCTGTGACAAAGAGATGATTCCAGAACCACCTAGCATCCTGTTTGGATTCTAGTTCACCTCTCCCCAAACTTTTTTGAGGTAACAATATATGTATTGGTGTTTGAGACTTTAGATAAAAATACCAAGATTTATGTCTCCGTGTATAAGTATAAAGATATATATATGTACATATAGATGTGTGTCTGTGTGTATACACATAAATGCATAAGTATTCAGGATTACATATTGCTAAAAGAATTGAAGGATGCACAGACTTTTTATTCTCACCCGATGTCATTTTCCCATTTTTTGTTCAGATAGAGTGGGAGGGAAAGAGAGGGAGAGAGAGAGAAACATGGATGTGAAAGGGACACATCGAGTGGCCGCCTCCCACAAGACCCAACTGGGGCCGGGGACACACTGTAACCGAGGTACCGAGTTATGTGCCCTTAGCAGGAACCAAATCCAGGTCTCTCTGGACCGCAGGCCGACACTCTAACTGCTGAGCCAAACTGGCCAGGGCTAAGAAGACTTTTACACTTTACTCTTAACCATTTTGCAATTCTTCCAAACTTTTTTGTTGTTAATCCTCACCCAAGGATATTTTCCCATAGATTTTTGGATAGAGTGGAAGGGAGGGATGGAGGGAGAGAGAGAGAAACATTGATGTGAGAGAGACACACTGACTGGTTGCTTCCAGCATGACCCCGACGGGAGCCAGGAATTGAACCTGCAACCCAGGTAGGTGCCCTTGACTGGAACTGAACCTGTGACTCTTTGGTCTGCAGGCTGATGCTCCAACTGCTGAGCCAAACCGGACAGGGCTCTTCCAATCTTTTATAACATATACTGTTTCTGTGTACTACTCATATAATTTTGAAAATTCAATCAATTGGTGTCTCCAGGTCCAAAGCATGTAGCAACAGTTATCCCTACTACAAGCACTTAAGACTCATTCAACCAACGCTGAGACACCCTCCTATATGCCAAGGCTGGCTCAGAGGCTGGTACTGCAGCAAACAGCACAGGGTCAGCGATGAGGCCTGAAGGAGGCCAGTCCACAGCAAAGGAGTGAGCGTACAGTGTACTTCCCTGGGGCCAGGAAGGGCAACCAAATCAACCTCGAGGCCTGCTGGGGTTTCCTAGGGGAAGGCACCTATGAACTGGGTCTTAGTGCCTGAGGGAATCAACCAGGCAGAGCTGGGATGAGGAGGGATTAAAAGCACAGATGGCAGAGTACCACTGCAACATAAAGCCTAAGGCAAAGAATAAGGGTTGGGAACCTCGTGCGTGGTAGTGAGGGACCTCCACATTGTCCTGTAATCTATAATCTCTCTAAAATCAACAAAGAAAAATAATTTTTTTTTTAAATTTTAAATTCCACAGCCCCTCACCCCCACCCTCCAATCTTATACACATCTCTGTTACCTTGATGCTCCTGCACTTATCTGGGGATATAATCCCAAAGTGGGAAGCCCCAAGAGTCCAAGCAGGGCCTTGGCCTAGCAAGGCTGGCATTAATAGATCTGTAGTCAGGGCAAATTTGGGAGGAATGAAGCCAGAAGCTGAGAGAACATTCAGGAGATTGCTGAAATAATCCAAGCCAGAACTGATAAGAGCTCAAACCTGAGCAGTGGTGGTGGGGATGGAGCCAGAAGATCAATTCAACAATCTTTCTTTAGGAGGGGAACGGTTTCTGGGGGAGAAGAAGCTCCAGGTAATGACAATACCTTCTTCTACATAACGATTTAACATGCAGACCCAGAGAAAACTTCTCCCCATAATAAATAAGAAATGTAGGACCAGAGGAGTTACAGTTTGCCCAAGGGACTGAAAGCCTCCTGTTCTGACCCTAAATGACCCATTACCCACCCCCCAAACACACACCCAATCAAGCATTTTAATTTACCTTGAGCTTTAAATTGTAAAGCTTCACCTACAGCTTCACCACTGGGGTCCATGTGATATCGGTTAGCTTTTTCTTGTAACACAGCATCAAAAGTCTCCTGCGCAATTCGCCTTGCTGCCATGTTTCTCTGACCTGTAGTCAGAGAGGAAAAAAGATACTAAGAATGACAACTAATGCTCAGAGAGCTGGCTCTCTATTTCACCTAATCCTCAAAGTAAGAGGCAATAACCCATAATCCAGCACAGTACTTCAGAGAAAGGTCAGATTATTTCAAGGGGCCTTTACTCTCAGGAAGCTCACAGGTGTGTGTTGGCTGAGAAGGAGCAAGACAAACATGGTGATCTTGGACAAGTTATTTTTGCTTCTCTGGGCCTATATGCTCAGAATCCTTTAAGAGCTCTATGAAGCCCTGGCCAGTTTGGCTCAGCGTTAAAGCGTCAGCCCTTGGACCAAAGAGTTGTGGGTTCGATTCCGGTCAAGGGCATGTACCTTGGTTGTGGTTCAACCTGGCCCTGGTCGGGTCGTGTGGTAGGCAACCAGTCAATGTGTCTCTCTCACATCGATGTTCCTCTCTTTCTCCTTCCCTCCCTCCCACTCTATCTGAAGATAAATAGAAAAATGTTCTCAGGTGAGGATTAAAAAATAAATAGTCTGGCCAGTGTGGCTCAATGGTTGAGCGTCGTCGCCCCATGCACCAGTTAGATTCCCAGTAGGACTCATGCCCAGGTTGTGGGTCCGATCCCCAGTGGGGGGAATGCAGGAGCCAATCGATGTTCTCTCTCATCAATGTTTCTATCTCTCCCTCTCACTTCCTCTCTCTCTAAAAAAATCAATAAACAACAAAAATAAATAAATAAAAGTTCTATGAAAAAAAGTCCTTATCTCTTGGAGTTGCTGAAGGACTGCAAGAAACAATACACATAACTGAACATAACAGTGTAGGGGAGTGGGAGCATAACACTCTTACATGGTAGTTAAGAAAGATGTCAGCCCTGGCCGGTTTGGCTCAGCGGTTGGAGCATCGGCCTGTGGACTGGAGAGTCCCAGGTTCGGTTCCCGCTGGGGGCACGTACCAAAAAAAAAAAAAAGAGAGAGAGAAAGATGTCACGTTCCCATTTCCCAAACAGGGCCAAGAGGCTCTAAGAACCACCTTCCCCCGAGAGAAAAGCCTCCTGGAGAAATCCGGAATCCCTATGAGCTAGTGACAGAGTTGTAGGGAAGGGACTCACTCCCTCGATATCTCTCATTCACTTGCAACAACCCAGTGAAGTGGGTCCTCCTGTGAATGACATTAAACAAAAGAGGAAATGGGAGCCTCAGGCTATGGTACTCACCCAAGGTCAGCCACCCACTGAAACCAGTAGTGGGGACAAAGCCTGAAGACTAAATAGAAAAAGCCTGAGAAAGAAGCAACACTAAGGGATCCTATGATGGCCTGTGCTTAACCACCAAGATATTCCTTCCAACTTGAAACCTCTAGCCTAAGACCCAAGTCTGCGCCTGCTTTACAGTCTTCCTTATAAGCACCACCTTCTTTTCCATCCTTTAGCTCTTTTCCTAGGGCGCCCCTCGTTCTTCACAGGTGAAGGGAAGGGTCTTTGGGACAGGCGGCCCGGGATCAAATCAAGCCACCTAACCTTTCTGTACCTTCGTTTTGGTCACCTATGGAATGGGCAGCTAATGGTGGGGTAGGGATTGAACCCGTTAAAAATGGCAAAGAGCCGGATACAGCACCCGGCCTCCGTGATCGCCTCACAAGAAAGGCCTCTCTGGGCTCGGGTGGAATGAATGAGCGAGAGAACGAGTGAATCTCTTCGGGTGCAGTCCGCTTGCTCCTGCCTCCGAAGACGAAGAAAAGGGGGCGTCAGGCCCGGGAGGCCGCAGACCGCCCCACCAGGCCGACCCGTCCGGGACACGGCCGTCATGGAGCCCGAGGGCCGAACCCGCGGTACAATCGCGGGAACCCGGGGCCCGTTTGGGGCCGAGCTCGGGTTCCCCACCCCGGGGCCCACCCACCGACAACGCCGGGGCCTCACCCCGAGCCCACCGCGTGCGGAGTCGCCCCTGCCAACGCCTCAGACTCAGCTACCGCCTTCGCCGCCGCCGCCCCCGCCGCCGCCGCCGCCGCCGCCCGAGGCGGGGACATGCAAATGAACCAACGGTCTCTGCAGCTCCGCGCCGCGCAGGCCCAGGTCCACGCCGCGTCCTGGTGCGCAAGCGCAGGATACCGCTAACCGTGCCGTCTCGCACAGGCGCGCTGCCGGCTTCTTCAGGGCGGACCCTCCTGGGGTGTTGAAAACAGAGAGCAGCCCGGAAAAAGTGGTAGAGACGCCGCCGTCGCGCACCTGTTTGCCTTTTTGGCTTTACCTGCGCTCGCAGTCACCCTTGATCACTCGGAGCGGTTTGCTTGGCTGACGAAGGCCAAGGCGAGGGGGCGCCTGCGCGCCTGCGCGCGTACGGCGGCCAGAAGGGGCCAGAGGCGGTGCAGCCGGTGCAAGAAGCGAGCCCCACCTTTTCTCACGTGGCTGCGAAGACCGGGTGAGGAGCTGCAGCCGCCGAGACCCCTTGCGCGCGGGGCGAGGAGTGAGTGCTGCAGGGTCGGGCTGGTGACTGTGGGCAGTCCTTGAGGACTTGATTTTGGGGAGTGAAAGACTTACAGAATCCGCCCGAGGACAAAACCGTCCACTTCCCAGGCTTCCACATATTCATTCACTGCCTGTGTACTGAGTACCTGCTGTGTGCCAGTCCCAGTCCTAGATAGTGAGGAGAAGGTGGAGAATAAAATAGACTGGGCCCAGCTCTCATGGAGATTAAATTTCTTTGGGGAGGAGACTAGACAGCACAAGCAAATAAATAAATGAACCGTGTCGCTCTAGGTAGAGGTAATATTCAAATAATAAAAGAAAGATGCGGCCCTGGCCGACGTAGCTCAGTGATTAGAGCTTCGGCCCGCAGACCCAAAGGGTCGCGGGTTCAATTCCCTGTCAAGGGCACGTACCTGTGTTGCAGGTTCGATCCTCAGCCCCGGTTGGGGTGAGTGCAGGAGGTAAACAATCCATGTGTCTCTCTCACATCCATGTTTCTTTCTCTCCTGTCTCTCTCTTCCTCTCCCACTCACCCCTCCCCTTTCCCTTGCACTCTCTGAAAATCAATGGAAAAAATATCCTCCGGTGAGGATTAACAACAACAACCAAAAAAATGAGAGATTTGAAAAGAGATGGGTGCTACTTTAACCAGAGTGATTATGAAGAATGTCCCTTGGATAGCTGGAAAGGATGAGAATGTAGGCTCATTTGCAGGGAAGCACAGGTGAGGCAGTCTAGATAGGAAAAGAGTTGGTAAGGAGACTGCACTTTGTTTTGAGAGGGTTGGGACACCACCGGAGGATTTTGAACAGGTGAGAAGGTGCTCTCTTTGTGGAGATGCTCAGGGTGTGGCAAAGAGGAAGTAGGCAAAGCCATCCACTGGGGAGGACGGTGCCTGAACTAGGGTGGATGCGGCAAGTGGAGGAAGATGAGGAATCATTCAGTCTCTCATGTTTCTATGCACCATTTTCTTGATGAGCAGAACCCTGACCTTGCTGATTCCCTTTCTTCCCCTGAACACCTTGGACCCATTTTGGAGTCTGGTAAATTCCCCCCTCTCTTGTCCTGGGCTCTTCCCCAGGTGACTCCCAGATGACCATCCTCAGGTACCATCTTTCTCATTTGCTCTAGATTGATACTTTTGTCCTCCGCCCAGCCTAGTGCTGGACCCAGGAGATCCCAAAGGACCTCAGAGGTGGTCCCAGAGCCAGACACTAATCTCTGCAGCTCAGGGTAGAGGGAGGTTCATGGGGTGGGGTGGGGTGGGATGGGGGTTGCAGAGCAAGGTCAGAGGGCACAGGCTCTATCTGAGTGGCTAGGGAAGGCTCTCAGGGGGAGATGGCCAGGAAGGGCTGGTGGAGATGCCAGAGGGGCAAGTTCCTAAGGGATACCTGAACCAAGAGGGTTCTGGACTTCGTACAGAAAATAATTCAGGATGTGAACCAGACAAGAGGTTAAAGCGGAACAATTTTATTGAGTAGAGAGGATAAACAAGAAAAGCCACTTCGCAGAGTGGTGGACTCTTCTCACAAGAGAAGGAAAAGAGTCTGGCTGGTGTGGCCCAGTGGTTGAATGTCTAGCCATGCACCGAGAGGTCACTGGTTCAATTCCTGGTCAGGACCCATGCTCAGGTTGTAGGCCCAATCCCCAGTGGGGGGCATGCAGGAGGCAGCTAGTTCATATTCTCTCTCATCCATGTTTCTCTCTCTCCCTCTCCCTTTCTCTCTAAAATCAATAAAGGAAAAAAAATTTTTTTTGAAAAACAGACACCACCAATCTTTAGAGGTTGAGCTTATATCTGTTTGTAGTTTCTCCCCTCCGGACCGCAGGCTGACGCTCTAACCGCTGAGCCAAACTGGCCAGGGCTCTGTTTGTAGTTTCTATGGAAAATTACTGCTATGGGGAAATAGAAAGTGGGAAAAAATGTTGGGATTAACTTAACCTTTATAAGGTATATTTTGTGGTCTTTTTCTTTCATGGTATTTAGCTAAACGATAAGGTAAGGGTGAGTAGATTTTTTTTTTTATCTTCATCTGAGGACATTTTTTTCATTTTTGTTGTTGTTGTTCAGATAGAGTGGGAGGGAGAGAGAGGAAGAGAGAAAGAGAGAAACATCGACGTGAAAGGGACACAAGTGGCTGCCACCCGCACAACCCAACCAGGGCCAGGGACAAATTGCAACTTAGGTACACGCCGTTAGCGGGCACCAAACCCGGGTCTCTCTGGACCACAGGCCAATGCTCTAACTGCTGAGCCAAACTGGCCAGGGCAGGGTGAGTAGATCTTAATCAGTTTTTGCAGGAATTTTCTTTGTTCCAGAGGCTCCTTGTGGTCTACTTGTATCTCAGGTCAGCTGAGTTATCTATCAGGCAGCATGTAGCAGGCCCCTGTCTTAACTTTGACTTTAGTTAATTTATGTATTTCTCTTTTTTTTTAATCCTCTCTCGAGGATATTTTTCCCTTTATCTTCAGATAGAGTGGGAGGGAGGGAGAGAGAGGGAAAGAGAGGGCTACATCGACTGGTTGCCTCCCAAATGACCCCGACCAGGGCCAGGTACAAACCGAAACCAAAGTACATGCCCTTTGCCAGAATTGAACCGGAGACTCATTGGCCTACACTCTAACCGCTGACCCAAACCAGCCAGGGCAATTTATGTAGTTCTTATGCCCCTCTCCTATATTAGAAGTTCCACAGAGGACCCAGATGGAGGAAAGGTGTTAATGAGACAGGATAGCATGGTGGCCAGGCTTCTTACTGCCTGCCTATATGACCTCTGGTGGGTTCTTCCCTCTCTAAGCTTCAGATTCCTCATTTGCAAGTTATGCATCCCTCCCCCATTTTTAAATTGACTTGGGAGAGAAAGAGAAACTTCGATGTGTTGTTCCTCTTATTTATGCATGTATTGGTTGATTCGTGTGTGCGCTCTGCCTGGGGATTGAATCCATGACCTTGGCATATCGGGATGATGTTCTAACCAGCTGACCTACCCATCCAGGGCAGTATTCCCTTTTAAGACCATGCCTCTGGTCTGGCCGGTGTGGCTCAGTGGTTGAGCATTGACCCATGCACCAAGAGGTTGCCGGTTCGGTTCCTGATCAGGACACATGCCCAGGTTGTGGTCCCAGTCCCCAGTGGGGGGCATGCAGGAGGCGGCCAATTGATGTTTTCTCTCATCGATATTTCTCTCTCTCTCTCTCTCCCTCTCACTTCCTCTCTCTGTAAAATTAATAAAGGGAAAAAAAAAAAAAAAAAAGACCATGCCTCTGTGACAGAGTGGCCACTCACTGCTGGATCTGAAGTATGGTCGGTGTGATGACAGCAATGTCTGGTGGCAGAGCTAGGAGCAACACTAACTTGGAAGTTTCTGTTCCTTGGAGCTAGCCATGGAACACCCCACCATCACCAACCTGGACTCCCCACTGATAAACTATCTCAAAACAGAATTTCCTCATTGTTTTCCTTTACCTTTGATCTTGAAAATCCTTAGTAACTCCTAAACAGACTTTCTGTTCTAGGGAAGAAAGGAGTGGAGACTGTCTGCATGGGAGTGGGGTGGGCTGTTTGATGCCCTTCTACTCCTTACCTTTACAAATAAATTGACCATATTACCTCTTTATTTATTTATTTTTTTCAAGAGTAATTTTATTCATTTATTTATTTATTTTTGGTACGTGCCCCTAGCGGGAACCGAACCCGGGACTCTCTGGTCCACAGGCCGACGCTCCAACCGCTGAGCCAAACCAGCCAGGGCACCTCTTTTATTAAAATATTTTTTCTTTATTGATTTTAGAGAGAAACGGAAAGAGAGAGATAGAAACATCAATGAGAGAGAACATAATTGGCAGCCTCCTGCACAACCTCCCTGGGGATTGGACCCACAACCTGGGCATGTGTTCTGACTGGGAATCGAACTGGTGACCGCTTAGTGCATGGGTCAGTGCTCAACTACTAAGCCATACTGGCTGGGCGGCAATATTACCTCTTAAGTAACAAAGGAAAGGAACTAATAAATAATATTTATTTATTTTGTTATTTTGAGGATATTTTTTCTTTAAAAAAAAAAAAAAATATATATATATATATATATATATATGGCCCTGCCCGGTTTGGCTCAGCGGTAAGAGCATCGGCCTGTGATCCAGAGAGACCCAGGTTCAGTTCTTGCTAAGGGCACGTGCCTCGGTTGCAGTTTGTACCTGGCCCTGGTTTGGTCCTGTGGTAGGCAGCCACTCAATGTGTCCCTTTCACGTTAATGTTTCTCTCTCTCTCCCCTTCCCACTCTATCTGAACAAAAAAATGGAAAAATGTCCTCGGGTGAGTATAAAAAAATATATATACACACACACACATATATATATATACATATACACACATATATGTGTGTGTATGTGTGTATGTATATATATGTATATATATATATTGCTGAAGAGGGGGAGAGAGAGAGAGAGAGAAACATCAGTGTGAAAGAGCACATTGATTGGTTTTCTCCCACATGACCCCAACCAGGGCTGGGAAATGA